GAAGAAACTGGTAAATGTAACCATTCCATAGGTCCTTCCTGCCACAAGCACCCTGTTGGGGTGTGAAAAGTAGCCAACACAATTAATTCCCATGGTAAATTATAATTTACTCTTTTCAACTTTTGAGATTCAATGGCCTTTTCTACTAAAATTAAGGCCTTTTCTGCCTCGGGCATTAAGACCCTTTTAGAGGTGGGGGAGGAGTTCCCCTGCAATATATTGAAAAGAGGCTTTAAGTCTGCAGTAGTTATATGCAAATAAGGTCTTAGCCAATTAATATCTCCCAATAATTTTTGAAAGTCATTTAAAGTCACCAAATGATCTTTCCTTAACAGCAGAGGCTGATGACTTACTGTTGGAGTGTTTAACACTCGGCTAAGATAAGTGAAAGGTGGATTGGTTTGAATTTTTTCAGGAGAAATTTTCAAACCATAGTTTGTCAAAGCTGTTACTGTCTCTTTTAAAATATCATGTAAAAGAGCACGATTTTGATGGGGTAGTAAAATATCATCCATATAATGCACCAGATAAAGATCAGGGTATTGATACCTAATATCTTGTAAAGCAGCATCAACATATTTTTGACACAAGGTGGGGCTATTTTTCATTCCTTGTGGCAGGACTTTCCATTGAAACCTTCGATGAGGCTGTGTAAAATTCCGAGAAGGGAGGCTAAATGCAAATCTCTTGCAATCATCAGAACTTAAAGGTATAGTAAAAAAGCAATCTTGTAAATCAATAACTATGATGTTAAAGTCTGCAGGAATAGCAACCGGAGACGGCAGCCCAGGCTGTAATGCCCCCATTGTTTCCATGTGGCATTAATGGCTCTTAAATCTTGTAAAAGTCTCCACTTGCCAGATTTCTTTTTCACAACAAATATAGGTGTATTCCAAGGGCTAGTGGAAGGCTCTATATGGCCAGCTTCCAGCTGCTGCTGCACTAAATCTTTAACTGCTTCAAGTTTTTCTGATGGTAAAGGCCATTGTTCCACCCAAACTGGTTCATTAGTTTTCCATACAATTGGGTCAGCAGCTTCGAGAACAACGGCCCTCTAGAATAAATTTGGATAGCCAATGCCAGACCGGTCTTTCTTTTCTATAATCTGAACTGGTTCCTTCATCCCTTGTCCGTCTTTACCCAAACCCTTAGAGGGATCATATCCCATTTGCAGCAGTTGCGCTGACACTCTGTCGTTTGGGCTACACAAGAGTGTGCCCATTTGAGCAAGAATGTCTCAACCCCAGAGTGTAATAGGGATAGAAGGTATGACATAGGGACAAAAAGTTCCTGATGATTGATCATCTGCCCAATTTAAAATCTGCGAACTCTTAGCCACAGAGGGTACTTTACCAATACCAATAAGCCCTGAGGAGGCAACTTGGGTTGGCCACGAAGAAGGCCAGTCTTTTCCAGCAATACAAGAAACATCTGCCCCAGTATCCAACAAGCCATTAATTTTAACTCCTTGAATAAATAAATCCTTTAAAGGTCTAGAAGTAGTGACCTCCTGAAGCCAAAAACCAGAATCACTCGACCCAAATCTAGAGTCTCCCCTAGGCTCATTAGTCAGAGACTTTCCCATCTTGTGGTAAGGCAAGAGCAACAACTGAGCTATTTTCTGACCTTTGTAAAACTGCACAGTCTTACTCGGCGGAGCCACAAGCACTTGAATTTCTCCTGTATAGTCAGAGTCCACAACTCCAGGAATAACAGAAACTCCCTGAAGAGACAAAGAACTTCTTCCTAGAATAACCCCCACTATCCCATCAGGGAGGGGGCCTTTTACCCCTGTTGGAATTGGGGTAACTGAAATGTCCGGGGTTAATATTGTGAAGGCGGAGGAACAGAGGTCCAGTCCTGCACTCCCTGGGGTTGCTCTGATGAGCTCTGAGATGGAACAAAGGGAATGAATGGATTCAGAGTGGAAGTTGCCCCTGTTGTTATTTGGGGCCGGGGCTGGCCCCTCAATTCGTTTCCCGACTCAGGCACTGTAGGCTGTCCTTCCATTAATAGAGTGCCATTCTTATGAAATTTAGATTTGCAATCCTTAGCCCAATGGAAGCCTTTCAGGCATCTAGAACATAAAGATTGTGGACGAGAGCCTCCAGAAGATGGCAGTGTCAGGAGAGCTTGAGGCCCTTGTTTAGATGGGCATTTTTTACTGATATGGCCAGGCTGTCCGCAGTTGTAGCAGGTTAAGACAGTTTTGTTCTTAGGTTTATTAGTTCCACTCTGGATCCCTTGCATAAACTGAGTATAAGTTTCTCCTCTAAGAGCCGCAGCTATTGCCACACCTTGTACATAAGCAGGGTTGACATCAGCACACATCCTGATGTAGTCACTCAATTGTCCTGTCTTCCTGACAGGTCTTAGAAGAGCCTGACAGGTTCCGTTAGCATTATCAAAAGCCAATTGTTTTACCAAAATGTCGGCTGCTTCCTCATTGATGGTTATTCTATGTACAGTCATTTGTAATCGAGAGACAAAATCCTCATAATTTTCCTCAGACTTTTGCTTAATTTCTCCTAGGGGGGTAGCTTGGTTAGCACTAGCAGGAAGTGCTCTCCAAGCTCTGGCTGCACAAATATTAAGTTGTACTAGGGCGTCTCTCGGCATAGCCATTTGAGCATCCACAGATTCATAAGCCCCAGTCCCCATGAGCATTTCAGCAGTAATAATGTCGGGTCTGTGGATCCTGCCTGTTTTGGGCAGCCATCTGTTTAACCTGATTCTCAAATTCCGCTTTCCACAACAAAAAATTTCCTCCTGTTAAACAGCATTTAGCAAGCATTTGCCAATCATATGGGGTCATCCAACAGTTTGTGAACTGTTCCATAAGTGTGGAGGTACAGGGAGCCAAAGGTCCATACTGGGAACAGGCTTCCTAGAACTCTTTTAAGAGTTTGTATGGCAATGGTTCCCATACCGGAGGGGCATCTTCAAATTCATTATCAAACAAAATTGGAAAACACAAAGAAAAATCCAAATCACCCTCCTCCTCAGCCTGCCTTTTAGCTCCCTTAATACCAATGTAAGGCGCTTTGGACGAGAGGGAGTGCCCAGGAGTGAAAGCGGACTTCCTCGGCACATAGTGAGGAGAAGGTTGGGTCAAGGATAAATTGATTAAATTATCAGGATGCTTTTGCTCATGATGCTGAACGGCCTCCTTTTTCAAACTAGCCTCATCCGCTGGGGACGGAGTGCTGTTATCCAAGGGAGGAGTTATAGACACAGCTTTAGAGGAATTAGAGGCCAATATAGGATCATCCTCTTTAGTAAATTTGGTAGGGAATTTGGAATACTCATGTCGTGGATCCAAAGCATCTCTAATAACATTCCATAAGGCAAAAGCATCAACAGGGACCTCATCAGGTCCGTGCAAAGTATAACAGAGTTTAAGTTTTTCCCCAACTTTGGTCCAAATAGCCAAATCAACGGTGCCTTCTTGTGGGAACCAGGGACATTGTGCCTGGACAAATCGCAAAAAATGAGCCAATCGAGTAGAAGACACCTTAATTCCCTTTTTAGATAACGTATCGAGTAAGACATTTATAAACAGTCTCCTGCGTTTAGACTGTTTCTGACCCATGATTATATCAGGACTCTAGCACTTCTCACCTATCCTTTCCCTGCTTATCTCTACGGGGGGCCCGTGGCGCCCCAGGTGAGGTCCTATCTGTCCCAAAAAGAAAGAGAAAAGATTACCTTCAAGCTCCCATAAATTCCCACATTGATTAATATAGACAATAATGATTTTTGATTGACAAATGAAGAAAAATTGTTATAGATTGACTGAGCCAATTGGGTGAATTCAAATTGTTTTTCAGCAGAGCTAATGTCTTGTATTTTCTGATGAAGCTTGGAGAGATTCAAACATATTGGAATGGTTCCAAATTCCAGAGATATGATTTTTAATCCTATCCCATTACCATGATGTCAGAAGGCTAGACTAGGAATGAAGAGGCATATAGGCCCCAAGGTTTGTGAGACCATTGATAGTAATAATATATTACATTTATTAAGTAGTGTGATATGGCAGCTCCTTGTATGTATCAACTAATTTAATCCTCAAAATTCCATAAGGTAGACACTGTTATTATTCTAGTTTTATAGATGAAGAAACTGAGGCACATAGAGGTTAAGTAAATTCATGAGGTCCCCAAAACCTGTGAGACATGGAGTGATTCCAAACCAGTTGTCTTGACTCCAGAACCCACTCTCTATTACCACTACATTTTACTGCTTCTCTCTTATGGAAGGCCCAGAGTTATACAAGGGGAGATCCTCCAAAAACTGGAATTTATTTATTGAAAATTGTGTATTTATTTATTCTTACATAATTAAACTTTAGTCACTTTCAAAGTGTTTGATGCAGTACATCTGTCAAGATGCTTCTTCCACTGCTCAAAACAGTTTCTGAACTAGTTTATTTTGATGACTTTTAGTGCTTCTGCCATTTTTTGTTTCATTTACTCCACATCAGCAAAACATTGCACTTTGAGGACTTTTTTCATCTGGAGAAACAAAAAAAGTCGTTTGGGGCAAGATCGAGTGACTAGGGAGGTTGGGTCATGTGGGTCATGCTGTTTCTGGTCAAAAACTGTGAACCTTCAGCACGGTGTGAGCAGGTGTACTTGTAAATCACCCATCATAAAATGGGCAAACACGTTGAAAGAATCTCCAAAAAAAAATCACTGAAACTAAACAAAACACAGCCTCTTACAACAATGCTAACTGGTACACTCATGCCAATGGGTTTCTAGAACACTTACCTAGCAGGAGAAGCCTCTACTACAAAGGGCCCACTGTCCAAAAAATAATTACTTGGGGGGGGGGGCTCCTTGTATTTTAAGGTGTCCTGTTTTACAGACTGTATTCTCTTTGGTCCTATCTCTTATGATCACTGGCCCTTTGCTTCTTTTATTCACTGAAGTCGCTGGGCATTTCTTGAAAATAGATATGTCTCAGCAATTACTTTCATATTTTATTATCTACAGTTATGTCAAGTCATACCTTCTTCCTGACAAGTCTCGAAACAATAAACGCAAGACTAAAATCAGAACAGGCACCAATCCAGAATTTAATGAAATGCTAAAGGTAAATAAATACTCTTTCATAGTAACTCATATGATAGTGTTCACAACCTCATTGGTTGAAAAGTAACTGCAGAGAATCTTTTATTTGCATGTCAAGGCTCTGTGTGTGTGTGTGTGTTTTCTAAAAAAAAAAGTTGGGATTTGAATAAATTACCATAATCCCCTTGACTTTCCTAACATCTTTTGAAAACAAAATATAAGCCACTCTTACTCAATTTACTTTTCTGCTACTGCTGACTTTCACCTTAAGTAGAGTTGATCCAGAAAAATTACATCTGAGTTGATATAGCTTGTCAAAAAATGTTTTACCCTTGGGCAAACTGTGCTTTTTCTGACCCTCTTAAAAGAAGTTTGTCACAGTTTTGACACTAACTTAATGAGTCACCTTGTACACATTGTTCTGCTAACACACCATAGGTATGTACTGTTTCTTGCTAGATTTGCAGAATTTGTCTACATTTAAGTGTATGGTTAATGAACAGTGGAGATATAGAGTCTGACTTAAGAAATCTCAGAAAATGGCGATCTAGATAAATTATGACTCAGAGAAATTTCTATTTCCAATCAACTTCCATGTAACAAATGCTTCTCTCACCTTGGACCAAATCTGGTCTGGTAAGAAAGATCCAGGGGGAGCAGAATGTAGAAGTTGGTGGAGGCAGAAAACTATGAACTTGCATGTGTCATTGGGGCTATGTGTGGAAGCAGGAGCCAATGTCAAGACAGATCAAACAGAAAGTAAATACATACAGGTAGAGGGTAAATTCAGTGGCCGTAACAGGATAAGCAAAGATGAGCCCAAGCAGAACAGATAAACACAGTGAGAGAGTAAATTCAGGAAATAGGGAGCCAAGATTAATCATAATAGTAATAGCAAGGACAGGAATAGACACAAATCCAACATCAGGAACCCGTCAGTTTGAAATGTGTCCCAGATGGTGGTTTCACAAAACAAAGCAGAAGGTTGGTGAATGTGTGAGCATGTGGCTCTGCATAACATTCTGTTAGAAAAGGAAAGACTCATCCAGCACTATCTTCTTTCTGCTCAGTATATATGTTCATTTTTTTACTCCTCCACTTAGGCTGGGCTTCATAAAATTTACTTTTTGCGAGTTTCTCATTGTCAATACTTCTCTGGATTTAAGGGTTCTCATTATAACTAAAATAAGACAGAGAAGTTGGAGTACTGACATATTAGGCCTTGAGCTTACAAAGTAGGTGTGAAAAATAATTAAGTCAAATTAAAAAACAGGTAAAACTGGAAAGAGGGTTTAAGTTTCCTCACCTAACACTATATACACAGTATCTGAAATTTTATCTCCCCCTCAAATAATTTGTTTACATATCTTTCAGTGCTAGATCTGATACAAAATGAGTTTATGGAATAAAGCCTCAGTTGTAGCAGAAACAAAGAAATGGTGTTTTATTTGTTTCTGTTTTGTTCATGTTACTGATGCATATGATCTGAAAGATGTTGGAAGTAAATTTCAACCTGTCCTGGAATTGGACAGAGTCCTCTTTGAGGAGTGTAATGTTGTAAATCTCATTTTCAGTACACTATCAGCCGTACCCAGCTGGAAACAAGAACTCTGCAGCTCTCAGTCTGGCACTATGATCGATTTGGACGTAATAGCTTTCTTGGGGAGGTAGAAATTCCTTTTGACTCATGGAACTTTGAAAATCCAACAGACGAGTGGTTTGTGCTTCAGCCCAAGGTAGGAAATGCTTTCAGATTAGTCATACAGTTATGCAATGGAACAAGTTATGAGAGAAATTGATGTCACAGGCCTAAAGAATCTGAAGTCTTCCAAATTTCAAGTGATAATCTGCAAAGATTAGTGCAGCAAATTTTAGAATAATGTTATAATACATGTTGTAAATCCATTGTTTTGAAAAGTCTTTGTCAACATAGATTGTATAATGCAATCCATATAATCATATATATTAACTTTTCTTACTAAAATGTGTTCATCATTTGAAGGTCTCCGTGGATAAACCAAAGGAACATATTATATGATCCTATTAGAAAGAGAAAGCCTTCACATAGGGAAAACCAAATCCATACAGTATGACCAGTCTCAAAATGTTATTTCTAATTCCCCACAATTCAGACCATAAACATGCCTTTGCTCACATGAAGGAGTATCCAGTAGCTAAAATATTTGATTTCTTACATTCCTACTTTTAGGATTCATCATCCAGATCCTGAGTAATATTTTGAAAAACAATCTTAGGGCTGGTTCTAGAGATTAAATGTCAATATTGTATTGCATGTTCTAATTTAGAGCAGTAGTGACTTGGATTGACTCTAAGCAACGGGAGTCTCTCTACAGTAATTTTTAAGTTAAAGAGGAAGTGAAAAAGGTCACATTTATGCAGCGAAAGATTGTTCTTTATATACGTAAATTTAAATAAATAATATACTTTAAATATATAAATACAAAGATTGTTTTTTATGTATAGAGAGACAAAAGAACATTATGATAAAGATATTAGACTCAAATCCAACTTACTTGGTTCAGTCCTGGCTTCATGACTGCCTTATGACCTTAGGCAAATTATTTAACTTCCTAAGCGTTTGTATTCTCATTTGTCATCAATAAAATTGTTGGATGTAGCTTATAGGACTGCTTTGAGGCTTGAACACTGTAAGCTTTCAATAAATGGTAAGTAGTAGGAGTCCTGGCATTGCAATCGACAGAAACCCCAGCTCATACTGCTCAAAAAATAAAGGGAGATTATTAGCTAATGGTGTTCAGGCACAGTTTGATCCAGATGCTCAAATCTTATCAAGGCCTAGGGGTCTCTTGGTCTCTCTTCTCTTCTTCATTGGCTTCATTTTGAGGTTCCACACAGTGTTGACCTCCCTCGCTAACTTCGGGTATGTCTCATGGGCATTAATGGCTATGGTGGCTGGAAGGCTCTTATCCTTGTACACACTGTTCAGGAAAGGAGAGACCTCCTCCTCTTTCAGCTGTCAAACCAGTGCTTTGGGCCTGGTTCTCCTAGTTCTAATTACATCATTTACCTATCCTGAGTTAATAACTGTGACCAGAGAGGTAAAATGCATTACCTGGTTTAAGACAGCAGAATATATGTTTGTCCTGAAGGTGGAATTGGCCCTAAAGGAAATCCAGGTACAGTCATCAACAACAGCAGCGTTGTTCTCATTTAATGGTTACAACAACCCTGTGTGGTAAGTTTCATGATTTGATAGATGAAGAAACTGAGGCTTGGAAGTTAAATGCAACTTGCTGGTGGGGTTTTATATAATTGTTAATCTGAAACTTGGTGTCAATAATTCATGGAAAATCTTTAGGAAATATGTTTAGGCTGTGGGTAAAATTGGCAATAAAATACAATAAAAATCCTTAAGCATAAGGTAACTGCAAGTCCACGACCAACATAAATGTGATAGAGATGGAAAGTACAGTATTAACAACAAACAAGAAAAATCCACAACAGTATAGCATTAATTTTTTTTAAAAGGTCAATACAACATTAGGTCTCTTGGAATTGAATGAGAAGCCACATTATAAAAGATAGCACTTAATATGACTTTGCAGTCTTCTATTTGTAACTTTCTTTTGTGTATTATCAATGAGTATCACAGTTAGAAAATGTCCAAGACATGATATGATGCATGGCACAAATGAAGAAAAAGTAACATGCATCTTGGTACATAAAATTAATTTATCTGTCATTACTTAACATTAAAGCGTATAGAAGCTCTTTGGAAACCAGTTTGAGGGGAAAACAGTATCCTTCCAGTTTCCTGAAACTGTTTAAAGGACTTTGCTGTTATGGTATCTAATCTCTCCCCGATGTCTCCCAGGCATCCTTTGTGGTGCTTAGAGACCAACAATTTACCATGGTAATGTGGTACACTTTCTGTCATAAGAGGAAAGCATCTCTGGGTCTCTCTGAACCTGCTGAAGGTAGAAAAGCTTTGACTGTATTCACCGTCTGTGAAATATCATGAGTCCTCTGCCAGATCCCCTTAACAATGTCTATTAGGTTTGTCACCAACAGCTTCCACCTGGGACTTTCCTTAGAAACCTGCTCTCAGGCTACAATAGGTTTTTGTCCATATGGGCGGAGAGCCAGAAGTCCTGGGAATTTTTGTACTCCCTGCCACAAGGCAACACTTAGTCAATAACTGATAGGCAGGGAGAGTATAAAGTCCCACTTCCATTACTGAGAGTGGGAAAAACTCTGAGGTGTTATTTATATTCCAGGGTATCCTACCAGATCAGGCTGAAACTGCCTTCCATGGAATTTTGCCCGAGATTGCACCCATCCCTGTTCTACTTCCCCCACCCTTTCATTAGTCTCTCTGGGGGAGCACTTCCTTAATAAATCACTAGCATAAGAATACTCGTCTTAGCGTCTGCTTCTGGGGAACCCAACAAAAGTTAGTGTCACTAATCCATGCCATTTCCTTCTGCCAAGCTTCCTCTCACACATATATAGGAAAAGTCAAAGACTCAGACTTGCTTAGATATTATGTCATCCAAAAATGGAGAGGACAGTTTTGAAGGCATGCTCTGTTCCTACCTTATGCTTTATTAGTGGCTCATCCTCAGGCTAAGCTGGGCTCTGTGTGGTTGATCACAAACCAGCAATGTGAAGTACCTAACTTCAATCTCAGCTTCCTGCCTCAGTCATTTCAATGCATCAGTCACTTTGTCAGCTGCAGATACAGAATGAGCAGCCCCAGAAATTTGATGTTTCTTGTACATTATCCAGCTGATGAGGTGAAGCATAAGCTACAGGGATTGATTTCCCCAGGAATCAGGGAACACAATGAATGGTCCTTAAGCATTTGGAAATACTGACATCCTTTTGCAGTGGAAGTACTGGAAAGACATAGTGCTTCATTTCTTATTGACTCTGTGTTACTGAAAGTCCCTCAATACCTACCTTTGTATAGGCTAGGTCTTACAGCACTAAGCTCATCAGGAAGCTGGTGCAGACAGACAAAGAACTCAAGATGCCAAATGTACTTTAAAGTAGTTCCACAGTATAACTTCCATTTTATTGGAAGACATGGGATTATTTATTAGCTTTAACTCATTATCCTGCTGAAAGATATGTCAGGTAGTTAGACAAGAAAGTTTGTCAGTATGAATTGCATTTCATGCCTTCCCAAATGTGCCATTATAAAAACAAGGACCTATGAAAATCAGCAGCAAGCTTAAGTGGTGTTCCAAGGAGACATTATCATATTTTGCCTTCAGGCAGAGAGTAAATGTAAGTTCCTGTGGAAATATTACCTAGATTAAGGGCTCTCTCTTTATCTAGCAGTTTTGGCAGACTGCTATTTTTAATTTTTTTACTCTACCTAACACCAGTGAATGTACTGGAAGTCTCTTTCTTACTCTCATGAAGAGTGGACCTCTCTCTCCCCCGCCCCCCGTCTCTCACTCTCTCTTTCTCTCTCTCTCCCCGCCCTCCAAAAGCAGAAGATAGTAGATATCCTCTGCTTATTTCACACCTCTGTTCAGATAGTCTCTATGGTTTCCTATTGCTTTAGAATATGCTTTGAATAAATGTTAACCTTCACCCTACTACTCTGCTACTCGGTGCTCCCTTGATAAGGCCCAGCCCTCTGTAGTAGCCAAGGATGTCAGTGTTCTATCCATTTCCATTTTCATTCAAACGTGGCTTCTTTTCCTCAGAGTTTTCATGCCCACCAGTCAATTCATGCCAATCATTGTTGGAGGGGAACTCTCAGACTGCTGGAGTGAACTTGGTCCGTGGGCATGAAAAACCAGAATAGCCTTGATATGTAAGTCTTCTGGGGATAGAAATACCCCTTGATCAATAACTGATGAGAGCATAAACACTCCATTCTTTTGCTTCTGATTGGAACAGCTCTGAAGTATGAGCTGTCGTGTCACAGAGTTCCTCTCTGGAACTGAACAAAAGTTACTCTCCACGGAACCTTGTCTGATACCACACCCTTAAGCCTCCTTCACTTTCAGTCCCATTTCTCCATAACCCTTGGTAATAAAGTGCTATAACTTAAATTCATGCCTTAGAGGTTTCTGGGAAACCCTGAGTAGATTCCTTATTTCCATCCTCCTTGCATACATATTCCAGTCACATCTGACTTTCTGCTAGTCCCGAACCACAATCTACACAGTCCCTGACATATTTTGCTCATACTTCTTTCTCAATCCACATTAACCTTCTTCCCAGTCCACTTTCATCTGTCATTATCTCTCCTATCCTTTAAGGACCAGGCAAGGGCCACCTCCTTATCTTAATCTTGTTTAATCTTTCTAACCTTACAGTAGTTTTCTTGGTTCTTAAAGTGCAACAACTGTCACCATTTGTTTGATATTGAAGTCTCTGTATAGTAGAAGCCATTTTCTTCCAGCAATTATGACCAATTGTAAGACAGTTATTAGAAAAAAAATGACAGAATTCACCCACATACAAACACATACCTAATACATTTTTTATTTATAATATTTTAAATTAATTTGTTATTTTAAATGGATACAAAAAATATATATTTTTAGCACATAAAAAGTGTTTTGAAATATATGTTGTGGAATGGCTAAATAAATCAAATTAACATACACATTACTTTACATTTTTGTTGTTTTTGTGGTCAGAGCATATAAAATGTACTCTCTTACCAATTTTCAAGAATATAATACATTATTATTAACTATAGTCACCATGTTATAAAATAGGTCTCTCA